CTCCCCCGCCCCCCCCCCCCCTCCTCCTTGGAGGGAGTCAGTTTAAAAATCGGCAGCAGCGCAGGAGAGGAGGGCAGGCGGCTCTGTGGGAGCTGATACATGCAGGGAGCCAGCTTGAAAGCCAGCTTCCCGCGTGTACCAACTCACCCTGTCCCCCTCACCCTCTGCATTTTTGCCTCTCTATCTGAGGCAGCAGTGGGAAGGTGGTGGGATCCAGTGCTTGTGGGAAGCCAGCTGTTAAGTTGGCTCCCCCGGCACACCGGCTCCCACCTGCCCCCTGTGCTGCTGCCTCTGTGGGAGGCAGTGGGGGAGGAGGCTCCATGGGAACCAGCACACATGGGGAGTCCCACAGCACCGGCTCCCGGCCCCTCTCCTTGTCACCTCTGATCTGGGGGGAAATGCGTGTCATCATTTGGATTAAACAACTATCCGCTAACATCCCTAATACAGAGGTGGCAGCATGGAGGATAGAGGGCTCTACCCTAAGTCGGCTCCCTGGGAGCCAGTGCATGCAGGCTTTTAAGCCAGCTCCCCACATGTCCCAGGAGTCTGCATGTAGCCATGAAGGTTAATCGATAAGTGCAGGCTCATTGGACCGTGTGCATGGTTATACCTGCTCTGGACACTTGTGTGAGGTGTCCCGGATGCCATTTTTGTATTGCTTGTACACGTCCCCATTCTGACCACAGCTCTGTCCTGTGGTCCTTTCTACAGCTGAGGCGCTCTCTGACTGAGGCCCATCCCAATCTGTAATCAGGGTGACTAGAGCAGGGGGTTCAGAACACGCTTGGGAGTGCAGGCAAGGGCACCCCACTCCTCGTCCATTGCCCTAATCTAGACAAGGTCAAAGACCGCAGAGCCTGGGGAATGTGAGCCGAGCTGCATCTAGGAGGCGAGGGCTGTTCCGGCTGTGTCTCTGGCGGGCCTTTGATCTGCCGGAAGAGAGCAATCTCCGGGGAAGCGGTCTGCTCAGAGAGCTCTGCCAGGGCTGTGCGGCGTGGAGACAGACACGCTCCAAGTCTAAATGGACACGTAACGTGCTGGCTGTAGGGCCGGCCTGGAAGTGCTGTGGGCGTCTGCTGGAGCAATTCTTGTGGACCGGCGTCGCAGGACTGCGCTGGAAGGGAGGGCTGGGGGGAAGAGGATGGTATTCTAAGCAGAAGGGAGGGGCATTGAAAGGGGCAGTTTGGCGAGGAATCAGAAGCCAAGGGAATCTCTGCCTCCCACCCATTGGATGCGAGTGCCTGCTTGTATTTTGCTGGCTCACTCAGTGTGTGGTTTGTTGGCTGGATTAGTTCTGTATTGACTTACACCAGCTGGGCCCTTTCCTTACTTAGTTGTATTAGCTTTCTGGCTGTCTCCTTGCACTGGTTGTGTCTGTGCCAGCCGCTCTGTGTTTTGAGTCCTCGTGACGCCTGTTCCCTGCCCACAAGTTACACAAATATTTCATGTGCCATTAAACAGCTGCTGATGCGCAGAAGTGTTGGGATAAACGTTTGCTCTGGCTTTCAATTTGCTGGCCAGCTCTTTGTCCCAAGGCACCCCAGGTCGCTTTCCAAGCCTGGGGTGTCAGCTCCTACCTTTGGATGCTTCAGCTGGCATCTGGGCGAGTGAAATCAAGGCACAGACCCGACCCGAACACCCCGGCCAACATTTCCAAAAGTGAAGGGGGACTTTTGGGTGCCCAGCACGAGGCACCTCAGTGGGCCCTGAGGGTTTGAAAGCACGGAGCAGTGCCCACTGAGGGTCAGGCCTTTGCTGTTGGGCACCCAATATCACAAATGACTTCTGGGAGCTGTAGGCCCTCCTCCCCTGAGCCAGACACACCTCCCCTTTCCTTAGGGTGTTGAATCCAGATGCCAGTCCTACAGCTGTGCTCTCTGCTGGAGCTGCCTGGTGTGAGGGCCCACACATGGGCTATGGATGCCTGCTTGAGGAAAGGGCCCCCTGGTAACCGCCCACTCAGAGTTGGCTGGCCAGTGAGTTGGTGGGGAGGTGGGGAATGCCTCAGAAAAGCTGCCTATCACAGTTGGTGGCCCGTTGGGGAAGGGAGCATGTAGCGTAGAGAGTGCGGCAGCAAAGGAATGATGGGAGACGGCCGGGAGGTCGGCGGCGAAGGGCAGAGGTGTAGCTGCGGGGCTGCCGGAGGGCCGTGGGATAGTGACACAGCAGGAGATGACCATGCACTGCAGGAGCAGCATGTCACTAGCTGAGATGGAAGCAAAGCACTGACCTGCCCCCTGTGAAGACTCAGGTGAAGACTCAGCCTCAGATAGTCGCAGCCCCCGCCTTCTCCTCCAAACCAGGACATCCCTGGTGCGCCGTTGTGGGCCTTTCCATGGCACTAGCCACACCTCACGTAGGGTATGTCTACACTGCCACCCTAGTTCAAACTATGGTGGCTAATGTAGGCATTCGAAGTTGCAAACGAAGCCCAGGATTTAAATATCCCGGGCTTTATTTGCATCTTGCCGGGTGCTGTCATTTTTAAATCCCCCTTAGTGCGGACTCCGTGCTCGCGGCTATACGCGGCACGGAGTAGGTAGTTCAAATTAGGCTCTCTAATTCGAACTACCGGTACACCTTGCTCCACGAGAAGTAACGGTAGTTCGAATTAGAGAGCCTAATTCGAACTATCTACTCCGTGCCGCATGTTGCTGCGGGCACGGA